AGAGGAAACGCAGAGAAGAAAAGCGCCTTTACTTTGAAGGTTACATCTGTCACTAAGAGCGGCAGAAAGCAAACGGAACGGTTTCGTCTCGTTGCCGTTACAATTCATCAGGATGCGCGGCTTAGATTTTGACTGAAGAGGACAACTTGAAAAGCAGATCCCGTAAGTTGCTCTGTCCGATTTGTCTGTGACGGTCTGTTTATGCATGATAGAAACCCAAGCTATTTGTTTCGTTTCTTGCTTACTCTTACTGGCACCACCAGGTACATGTTTAAAGGCCGTTAACATTCCATTGCACATTTACGCTCCTTTTACACATAGGTGACCATAACCATGCACAGGCGAGCCGAGGCTTGTGAGGGACCAGCTGCACTTGGCGCTGAAAACGTCAGCAGCACCGAACCTGAATACGCCCATGCCAAAGTTGTTTAACGAGGAAATTCTCCAAACCTCCTCTGCAGTTTCCTTCCAAAATATTATATCTATCATGCATACGAAGTGTCATGCAAACTTTGCTAAACGAAATCACTCAATATATTTTAGGCGCAAGATGAAGACGCAGCAGATGTACCCACCTTTGCCAGCCTGAAGGATTCGATGTATCGAGAAAGGCGCTCAGCACAGCCACCGGTTCCTTCGTCAGCCGACACTCCGGAAGACAACGACGCCCACAAAAAGACAAAAATAGCAGCGCCCTTCTTCATCATCGACGACCGCAGAGACCCTCGTCTTGAATAGTTGCCTTTGCAACAGGAAATGGCATGCAACGGCTGTCGTCAGTTAAAAATATTTTTTTCCTCTCGGGACTTCTTTTGTTGCACCTTACATGTGTGACCAACATGTAACTCTGCATGTTGTAACTGACGGAGTGCCTAGCGCAGCCGTTTGCTTTTGTTGCCGGGTCGGTTCACTACAAATGTATGCCCGTGCGTTTGAAGGGCGATAATTATACATTCAAATCAGCTGGGATCCCTTCCTCGACCCCTGAAGGTTTCATGATGGATTTTGAGCAGGCGCTTTTTGGTGGTCTCCGCGTCGTGTTTCTCCAAGCTGCTCATTGCGGGTGCCATTTTCATTTCTGCACAAAAAGTTTGGGCTTCCGTTCAAGGGGCTTGGCTCCAAAGCGCATATTCAAAAAACGGCCAGCTAAGGGTGCTCAATCTTAAGCTCGCGGTGCTTTCCTTTGTTTCGCCTCCTGACATCCCTCGCCCCTGGGCGTTTCTGCGTCGGGGCGTATATTGCTTGGTATTCCGGAGCTTATTGGATTACTTGATTACTTTGACGCGACTTGGATGAGGGCATTTTCCAACTGGAACTGTGCAACCATCACGGAAACAGGGGATCCAGAACCAACAACTATATGAAGGCATGGCAGCGAAAAATTAAAGCCATGTCGGGAAGATCGCACCCAAACCCCTTCGGGTTCACTGATTTAATCGAGAGAGACGAGGCCCAAACAAGAGTCATCTCGCTTCAAGTTCGGAACGGGGGAGCCGTACGTGCGCGAGGCCGAAAGTGGGCTAAAAAAGTCAGAAAACTGGCAGAGAGTAAAGTACGTTCTCTCACTGACGTCATTTCGCTTTTCTTTTAATTTTTGGTCTATCCTAAAGCTTCTTTGGAAGTATAGGCATTCCTGAGAGCTTTAGCCGGAGAAATAAGTGTGTGAAAAAAGTTGCAGTCGATTCGTTGTACCAGTGTGTGACGCGTAAGAAATAAAACCAAGATACGTTTGTTGCAAGCAAATAGAATCTTTCTAATAGAATGCAGAAAAATGGTTTCGAACAAGCCTGCAAGGAAAGAGGGGAGGGTGGGTGGGTGCTAGTGCGTGCCTGCACACCTATCTTATATCTGATGGTATGTTGGTGCCCCGAACAAGGTAAGAAAGGAGCGTCGGTCTGTGTTGCGAAGAAGGGTTCCTATGGTTCGGTGAGGGTAAGAAAGAGACCACTTATTTCCGCCACGACCTTGCACTATTTTAATGTTGCGATTACATAACACCGTGTAAATGAATAAGAAAACGAAAACATATGTCTCAAAGTGATAGTGCCAATCACGAGCAATTGGGGATTTATCTGTCTAAATCAAAGTCACGAAATCACTTCTGTTCGCGCAGTCAAAGCCGTTGGTTTTATTTTGAAGTAACCATTCGTTTTCTATTCCCATTTTGTACAATTTTATTCTCGTCGCAAGATGGCGCTTTCACAACAAAACTAGCTCATTTCTAATTCGTTTTCGCAAAGTTTGGTATGCTTCATTTAGCTTATTTTGCTTAGGAGACTCAATGTCAAGTATTGCACAATTTTATAAGCAATAAGACCAGACACATTAATGCATCTAGAAAGTACTATTTTTCGATGATAACCAAGCACCCTTTTATACGGCAGTCAAATTTGTGATTGAAAAACTTATAAAATATAAACATTTTCGTTTCATTCTTTGTGTTTACAGACGAAAGAAGATGAGTATTTCGTTGTGGAGGAAGATAATGTAGTCACAGCTATTAAGTCACTATATGCCTTTGGTCAATTCACCAAAAACACCACGTTCGCAAGGCCTGCCGATTTCTACCTGATGCTCTTTGGGTAAGCAAGATCACGTAATTCAGCCTGAGGTTGAGTTGTGCCGTGAGGCAGAGATGTCACGAATGACAAGGTGACAAAACAACGAAGTAACTGAGAAAACTGAAACGTTTAATGGGGCGAACTTGTTCCCAGAAATAAAAGGCAAAAGAAAATAACAACAGAGCGTCGCGGGTGTCCAAAGCGGCGAAGCAGCAGGATCGAACGCTGAGGCGAAAACTGACTCCTGCTTGCCAGGCGGAGCCGCTTTTGTACACGCGTTGACTTCTGGAGCATTCGATGCAGAAGGTTCGACGCGTAGAACATTCCAACTTCGAATCAGCTAGACGGTTCTCGAATTCACCCGAATATCACAATACAGTGTAAACAAAAATGCGTAGCCGAGGCCAGGAATCGAACCCTGGCCATTCGCGCGGGAGGCAAGCGCGATAAGCGTTAGGCTACGGCCGCGCTGCCTACTTGGCGCGCGGCATTACTCCACCCTTAAAAAGTGCATCGTCCCGATGGAACACAAAACAAAACAAAGCACATAAAAAGAACGGCAAACTAAAGAGTCATCTGAAACACATAAGATCCACAGTCCTATCGAGCGTAGTACGGCTTCAGGCGCACGACGTGGACGACTTCAGGTCGTGGTGGGCGGCGTGATGATGTTCTTGTTCCGTCGGGCATCACCTCGTAGTTCAGCTCGCTGAGGCGACGAAGTACCTTGTACGGTCCAAGGTACCGTTTCAGCTGTTTCTCACTGAGGCCGCGGCGACGGATGGGCGTCCACACCCACACCCTGTCTCCGGGGTGGAAGTGAACGTCCCTGCGACGAAGGTTGTAGCGGCCCGCGTCGACGCGTTGCTGGTCTTGAATCATGAGTCGGGCGAGCCGGCGGGCTTCTTCGGCGCGTTGAGCAACCACCGGGGCGTCGTCGCTCTCATTATCAGATGGCTCATGGGGCAGCATTGCGTCCAGCATGGTCGTTACCTTCCGACCATGTACCAGCTGGAAAGGGGTGAATCCAGTGGTCTCTTGAACCGCCGTATTGTAGGCGAACGTGACGTAGGGCAAACTTCGTCCCACGTCTTGTGCTCAACTTCGACGTACATAGAGATCATGTCGGCGATTTTCTTGTTAAGTCGCTCCGTCAGCCCGTCGGTCTGCGGGTGGTATGCGGTGGTACGACGGTGGCTGGTGTGACTGAGCCGGAGAATTTCTTGGGTCAGCTGTGCCATGAACGACGATCCGCGATCTGTAATCAGAACTTCGGGAGCGCCGTGCCGGAGGACAATGGAATCGGAGAAAAACTTCGCGACTTCAACCGCAGTCCCCGAAGGAAGGGCTTTCGTTTCTGCGTACCGCGTGACATAATCTGTGGCGACGATTATCCAACGGCTTCCCAGGGTCGACGGCGGAAAAGGACCAAGCAGATTCATTCCGATCTTCTGGAACGGTGCAGTTGGTGGAGGAATTGGCTGCAGGAGACCTGCCGGCTTCGTCGGCGGTTTCTGGCGTCGCTGACACTCGTGAAAGGATCGGGTGTAGTGGTGGACGGTTTTGGGGAGCTTGGGCCAGTAATACTTTTCACGAATACGGGCCAATGTCCTGCTGTATCCAAGGTGTCCGGACGTCGGATCGTCGTGACATGCTTGAGAGATCTCCTCTCGAAGGTAGGTCGGGATTACCAGCAGCCACGGCGAGTTGTTGTACCCGAAGTTCTCTTTGTAGAGTACACCTTGTCGAATGGCAAAGGTTGGCAGGGCTCGTGAGAAAACACGGGGCACGGTACTCACGCTCCCTTCCAGGTGCTCCATTAAGGCGCGCAGCTCCGGATCGTCTCGTTGACGTCGTGCCATGTCATCGGTGTTCACTGCCCCTAGGAAGCACTCGTCGTCATCGTCATCGCTGCTGCCGGGAGGTGTTTCGAAAGGGGCCCTGGACAGGCAGTCAGCGTCGCTGTGCTTGCGTCCCGACTTGTAAACCAGAGTCATGTTGAACTCTTGTAGCCGGAGGCTCCATCGAGCGAGGCGTCCTGACGGGTCCTTGAGGTTCGCAAGCCAGCAGAGCGAGTGGTGGTCCGTGACTACGCGGAACGGGCTTCCGTACAAGCACGGACGAAACTTCGTAATTGCCCAGACGACCGCAAGCATTCTTTCTCAGTCTTGGAGTAGTTTCTCTCTGCCTTGGAGAGTGTCCGACTTGCGTAGGCGATGACTCGTTCGGTGCCTTCTTGTACTTGATACGCTTCTTTTGTTGAATAAATTGCACATCTTAAATAAGCGAATGGCGGGCAAGGATTTGGCGGAAACCAGGACAGGCTTAGGGTACTGCCCCCGGAGAAGAGGGTGATGAATTGTTGCTAGGGTATGTTCCAGTAATTGTCGTGTCACGAAAGTGAAGCATACAGATAACATATGAGTGTAAGAGAGAAGTGAGCGCCTATGCATCGATGGACTAGCTAGCGTCTACCGATCGCAAGCGCCGCACCCGTGAACCGCTTGCTATTGTCCTCGTGAGCCGAGACCCTCCCGACGGAAACGAAGCAAAAGAGAACCGCGCGAGAGGGGCAGCGTTTCCGCTCCTAAGTGATACCCAAGATTCCCCGAGAGCGGCCATTGTCGGAATGGCCAAGGAGACGTACGATTTGCTCTTCAAATTGCTGCTCATCGGGGACTCCGGAGTCGGCAAGACGTGCATATTGTTCAGGTTCTCCGACGACGCGTTCCACACTACCTTCATATCGACCATCGGTATTGACTTCAAGATAAATACCATAGAGTTGAAGGGCAAGAAAATAAAGCTGCAAATATGGGAAACAGCTGGCCAGGAGCGCTTCCACACAATCACGACATCCTACTACCGGGGAGCAATGGGCATCATGCTGATGTACGACATCACCAACAGCAAGAGCTTCGACAACATAGCCAAGTGGCTGCGCTACATCGACGAGCGCGCCAACGAAGACGTCGAGAAGATGATCCTGGGCAACAAGTGCGACATGGAGGACAAGCGCCTCGTCTCCCGGGTGCGGGGAAACGCCGTAGCGATAGACCATGGAATCCGGTTTATGGAGACGAGCGCCAAGACCAATGTCAACATCGAGATTGCCTTCACAGAGCTCGCGGAGGCCATCTTAAATAAGCAAATGACGGGAAAGGATTTGGCGGAAAACCAGGACAGGCTTAGGGTACTGCCTCCGGAGAAGAGGGTGATGAATTGTTGCTAGGGTATGTTCCAGTAATTGTCGTGTCAAGAAAGTGAAGCATACAGATAACATATGAGTGTAAGAGAGAGAGAGATAGCCTAAAAGAGACACCCACAACACATAGCAGGTGACTATGACCAGACAACACTATACAAAAGCAAAAACGTCGGCAGATACACGCAGCAAAACCTGGACCCCAAGTAGCTCCCCCCCTAGAGCGTCTTCATCCACGCCGATACAATGGCCGCAGCGATGCATCGCGGCCACGCAGATCCTCTCGACGCCCCTCGGGACCTTCGAGTTTGTGGAAAGTCGTGCAACGGAGCGGAAGAACAACAAACAACGGCGTCCCGGGTCTTTCGTTTGGACGGACGGCCGCCCGGCCAACGCTTGTTTCTTCTTTTTACTGCCTTAATGGGACTGAGAGTCGGCGGTCACACGGGACGACGGAAAACAAACGTGCGGCGAACCTCTCCTCCGCACACGTCGCCTGCCAGAGAGTCGCCGGCGGAGGACGTCGAGTGTTTGTAGTGGAGAGACGGACGGACGTGCGAACGACGACAACTTTCAGAACGAAACGTTCGTGGCGACCGGCGAAGAAAGGACAGTGGGATTGTCTCCTTCTCCCTATACCCCGCACCTCCACCAAAAATGTCACAAATGACAAGGTGACAAAACAACGAAATAACTGAGAAAACTGAAACGTTTAATGGGGCGAACTTGTGCCCAGGAATAAAAGGCAAAAGAAAATAACAACAGAGCGTCGCGGGCGTCAAAAGCGGTGAAGCAGCAGGATCGAACGCTGAGGCGAAAACTGACTCCTGCTTGCCAGGCGGAACCGCTTTTGTACACGCGTTGGCTTCTGGAGCATTCGATGTAGAAGGTTCGACGCGTAGAACATTCTAACTTTGAATCAGCTAGGCGGTTCTCGAATTCATCCGAACATCACATTACAGTGTAAACAAAAATGCGTAGCCGAGGCCAGGAATCGAACCCTGGCCATTCGCGCGGGAGGCAAGCGCGATAAGCGTTAGGCTACGGCCGCGCTTCCTACTTGGCGCGCGGCAATATCTTAGTTCCGTATGGCGATTCAATGCTTCCGAAGGATATGTGATAGATTAAGGCGGTCGTGCGACAATTTTCGGGCTTACAATGAATTGCGCACTGCTTAGATCAAATCTTTGACTTTCATAGCCCCCCAACACACGAACTACCTTTTATTTCAACTCAAAGACAACTCAACGAGCACAGTTAGCTTTTTCAACTCGTTGCCGGAACAAGTGGCCACGTGATCTTCTATTACGGATTCTAGGCAGGCAAGTGGCAACATGCCCTTCTCGAAGGACATGTTGCCACTCCTTGCTGGCAACATGCCCTACTCGAAGAACGTGTGCTCGGTGTGCTCCGAAGCGTTCATCGGCCGGATGCAATTCCTGCGATGTTCGGGGCCTCGCGGTACCCGCTTTCACTGCAAGTGCATCGCCGTTGTGGGAGATGACTACGATTACTTCATGCATAGTGGTGTCAGCACTTACAAGTGTAAAGCCTGCACGAGGCGCAATGACTCCGATAAAGTTAGTGTTATCAGGAAACAACGCCCTCTTGATGATTGTGATGTGGCATCGGTGAGCACCATTGTGGGAAACTGCAGCGCGTGTGGCTGTCTGAAAGACTTGTTGGTGGCACTGCATGACAAGTTCAATTCTCTCGTTAAGGAAGTTCTCTCGGTCAAGGCGGAAAACGCGTCTCTGCTTCTGCATCTGTCAAGGAACACGGAAATGCTACGTCGTTTTACTGCCCGAGCCTTTGAGCCACGGCCGACAACATCGCCGTCTGAGCAACCAAATCCTGCGTCCGCAAGCTTCGCGGAGGTTCTCGGAAAAGATTCACCAGGCCGGTACGTTGCATTAGCCACTCTAGAGGCGTCCGGAAGCAGTTTTACTTCCGCCCATCCACGTATTACATCTACATCTGTGGCGGCTGCTGTGTCCTCCGTACTGCCGCCCGCGGTGACCGTGCCGAAGGCGTCTACAGATGCCGATTGCTTTACGCTCATCCAACGGGAAAAAAAAAGTCAAGCCATGCTCAGGTTCCTGCGCAAGCAGTAAGCTATGGTCAGCGCCTGAATCACCAAGGCTCAAGGCGCTTTTTGTATCGCGTCTCAATCCTGACACTACGTGTATTCATGTTGGGGAGGTGCTGACAGCAGTTTTGGAAGGAACATCTTTTACATGCACCAAGTTAAAAACTAGACACGAAAGCTACTAGTCATTTCGCATTGTTGTGAACGAGGATAATTTTAACCGAATGAAAAATGCAGAGGTTTGCCCAATGGACTCCCTTTTTAGGACATTTTTCGATGTTGCAGGGCGCAATGATGTTCGTGACACAGCAACCCCCACTAGCTTGTCAAAGGAATTGTTCAGTGTTTTATCGAAACGTCCGCGGCCTACGTACAAAGGCTCCTATTTTTTTTTCAATAACGTTGTTCTAGGTGATTACGATATCATTTCTTTAAGGGAAATTTGGTTATATAGCTCATTTGCATCCTTGGACTATTTCCCTCCTGAATACACAATGTTTCGTCGGGATCGAGATTACAAAAAACTTTCCGTTAAATTCGGTGGTGGAGTACTAATAGCAGTTGAGAAACATTTACGGGCTATTCGCCGGTTTAATCTCGAATTCGAGTGCGAGTCCGCTTGGATTGAAATACGTCTTTGTGATACCAATAGCTTACTTATAGGCACTTTTTATTTTCCTCCTAATTTTGACGGATCTAAGTTCTGTGACCAATGAGATATGCTAGGGGATAAATTTAATGTGGATCAACACCGTATAGTCATACTTGGTGATTTCAATATTCATAAAATAAACTGGAATTTGGTACTTCCGGCACTGTCTGCTCATAGTGCATCATTTAATGCGAATGCCGTTTTTTTATTTGTTAACCTTTTCGGATTTACCCAAATGACCGGTCTTCATAACTCAGTAGGACATTTGCTTGATCCGGCTTTGGCCAACTTTCCTATCGACAGCCTGATGTCTGTTTCCAATCCGCTTGTTTTACCAGATGCTTGGCACGTTCCTTTTTCTGTTTCCTTTATGATTTCTGTGGGTAAAGTAAAGCACAAAAACCGTGAGTCGCTTGCTTTCTCAACGGCGATTACTTTGGCATTTATCAACATTTAGATAATGCAGATTCGGCTTCCATATATAGTATGACCGATGTAAATTGTGCCATTGAAGTGTTTGCGAATTCCGCTTTTTGGTACCTAAACTTTTCTGAGTCACGTGCGCTAGCTAAGACATTGTTGAAGCGCGATAAAATATTACACCATGAGTCAGTAGAACGCAGCTTAAATCGTGACCCAATGCTTTTCTGGCTATATGTAAAGGATCGCACAACTACAACTTCGTCATCAATAAGAATAGCTGACTCGTTAGGTGATATGCTGTCTGAGCCCAAAAATGTGTCAAATGCATTTGCGAGGTTTTTTTCTTCGGTTTATTCTTGCTGCCAAACTGGACTGCATGTGCATGGCGTCAGCGATAATGCCAGTGATCAACTGACACTTCTATCTTTTGAAATTAATTATATTGAACTTGCTATGAGGAAACCGAAGCCAAAGTTATAAGTTGCATTTGACGGCATTCCAAGCTTCATTGTTACAGGATGCTCCTCTATTTTTGCGCATATCTCAACGCATATTTTTAACATGCCGCTGCAGAGCCTTACATTTCCTCCCCTGTGGAAGTACTCTATTACTGTGCAAGAACGTAATAATGGCAGAACGGATGACGTAAAAAAATACAGACCTGGGTCGTTACTATCTCCCTTTGCTGAGGTCTATGAAATTGTTTTATTTGAGCGCATTTCAAACTTTTTTTAAGCATAAGATAAGCCCTTCACAACACGGTTTCATGCGTGGAAGGTCTGTTGAGACAAATCTGGTGTCTTTTATTAAGTTTCGTTTCGCCTGCTCTGTGTCAACGTAAACAGGTAGACGTTGTATATATAGATCTCCCTAAGTCTTTTGACCCAGTAGACCATTCGCTCCTTGCACACAAACTAGAATCCTACGGCGTGAGTACCTTCTTTGTTCCCTGTTTCTAGATTATTTGTATAATAGACACAATTTTGTTCGTGATCTTGGACATAACTCCCGGCGTTATGTTTCTTCTTCGGGTGTGCCGCAAGGTTCCATACTTGGGACGATATTTTTCAATGTTTTTATTCATGATTTGAGCTCGATTGTTAGCAGTTCAGTCGTCTTGCAATATGCAGATGATGTCAAGTTGTTTAGGCAGATCATACCCTTGGAAGACTGTGAAAAACTTATGGAGGATGTTAGGCGTGTGTGCAATTGGTGTCGTAAGAAATGCTAACGCTCAATTCTTCTAAAACCGTTGATATGTCTTTGTCTAGAAATGTAGAAAAAATTAAATTTTGTTACCAGATTGGCAATGATCCTCTGCGAAGAGTTGATATCACGCGTGATATTGGTGCATACATAGACTCTTCGTTATACTTTATTGTACATATTAACAACCTTATAAATGGCTCTTTTGAAGCTGGGAGTAATTTCTAGAATCACGCGTGAGTTCTCCACATCAACCTGTATTCTTCGGTTATATTTTTATTAATCCGGACAAAGTTGGAGTTTTCCTCTGTAGTCTGGAATTGTATTAGTTCTACGAGCCAAGAGATGATTGAAAATGTTCGAAAGCGTTTTTTTTTCGAATTTTTTGTTTTCCTGTATAAATGCATTCATTGATTAATTGATTGCCCAGATCTCACATCTGCTATTAATATTCACGTTCCGAGTCGAGTTTTGCGGGTTTATCCAACTTTCCATGTTTATCACATCATCCAAACCAGTCCCCATGACCCGTATTCAACACTTCAAAAACACCCTCGGGGGAGCAGATATTGATGTTTTTAATCCAAATTTCATAGCTTTCAAGACTTTTGTAACTAACCTGTGAACATATTGTTGTGCATCATTACCGAGGCGTCAAGCTGTTCATGAGCACAGAAAATAAACAAATAAATGAATGAAAATGAATGAATGGAAAACATTAGCGGAGACCGGAGGGGTATTACTACAGGGTGATTCAAGGAGAGGACAGACTCTTTAAATCGACCGCAACATTCTGTTTCTTAACCCATCGCGGTACGATTTTGTGCAGCGTTGCCCACAGATAGTGCATTATTTTGGTTGTAAAATTTGCA